AGGAGTGAATACATATTAGAAAAATTCTGACTTTGCCCAGATATTTTTGAAATTGTCCTCTAAGGTCATTTAAGCAACAGATGTAAAGAAGTCTTATATTTTGAAGTCAAAATTAAGAAATAGAAGGTAGACTCAGCTTACTAGAATTTACAGTTAGAAATTTGTCCTCGTTCAGCCAGTTTCTGTTAATTTTGCATGTTTAATGTCTCTACCTCTTTCCTATTAAAATTTCTTTTGCTACTGTTTTTGCTGAAGCTTTTACCAATTTCTGTGAAACAGGGAGTCTTATCCCTATTTCCCTCATTGTGTTGTTTTCCGAATGATCCTTCTAGAATACAGGTCATGTCTGGCCTCTACTCCATCACATGCTATATGGAGTTCAAACCCACTAGTATGACTTAGAAGGTCTTTTTTTCATCTGGCACTTGCCTACCTTTTCAGCTGCATTTCCCAACTCTGATATTATTTTATGAACTACATATATCCAAGTTTTATGAAAGCATGTGAAGTTCTAGGGCATATGCTACTGTTTTATGACTTCTTGCCTTTGTGCAGTTAACTCCATGGCTGTCTCATGAATATCTACTCATCTTTGAGCTTCAAGTCAAGATTCTTTTCCTTTGCAATGTGCAATTGTCATGGAATTGTAATTACCATAGTAATTATCTTGTGGCTGGCCTGCATTTCTTCTATAGTTGTTAAAGTTGTTTGAGTATTTGTCTTTTCTGCTTAGGTGGTACCTGGTATTATTACGTTCCTCTATCCTCACATATGGCTCAAGGCATAGTATACAGTTGGCTCCTAAAAATGTAGGTTAGATGAGTCTGAGAGCTCTCAGAGCTCCTGTAGTCTAGCCATGTACTTGAAGAATTCCCTTCCGTATGTTCCTGTCAAGTGGCTATGCACCCTTGGCGTGAATACCTCCTTTGAAGGATGGTCATTTTTTTTGAACTATAATTATTACCATGTTCTTCCTACTTTTGAACTGCTACCTAGTAATTTCTACCCATTAATTTGTTCATTATACTCACATGAAATAAATGCTATCTATATTCACATGTGATAACTCCAATTATTCCTACTTATAACTACAATTTCTTCTTTGTTTTTCCTCCTCACAGATTCTAAATTCTTTCAGTACTTGCAGACTTTTTGCTTGTTCATACTGTTTTAGAAATCTCTCTGTATCCAGACATGATGTCTTTTGGAAGTTTGTGGTGTGGGATAGAATGGAGGGGAAGAAGGGGCTATTGCTTCTTTTTCTTAGTTATTTCCATCTTTCAGAAGTCTTTATTGATGACCCATCAGTTGCCAGACCTTTGTAGGAAATTGAGCAGTGAGGGAAGTTGGTTAAGAAGTTGGTATAGTCCCTGCTGTTCTGGAACTTGCAGTGAAGGCAGCTAAACACGACCTTGCTTCTAAGGGTGGAGCAGTTTAGGGGCCAGGGTGTAAGCTAGGCCTCAACAGATAAGTGGGATGGAAGCAGCAGAGGTGCCAGACAAGGTCATAAGGCCTCAAGCCAGGAACCGAAGGCAGGTAGACAAGAGGTCGAGACATGTGGGAGCTGGCATAAAATGAGGCTGCAGAGGTGATAGTGTAAGATTACTATGGATGTCACAGAAGACCTTTTTTAAAATTTTTATGATTATTACATTTTATCTTGTTAGATCCTT